ATGGCCGCAGCAAGGAACTCTCTAGATCCAGGCTCCCCCACTGCTTCCCACAGTGGCCGGAAACAAAAGAGGGAGAGAGGCAAGGGCCAACAGAGTGTCTGGCCCCTGGGTCTGTCATGAGGAAAATGAGAGTCTGACACCCTGCAGTCCCCATAGAGCTCCCTGATCCAGGAAGGAATTGGGGGCTGCTCCCTGGCCAGGTCCACAGAATCTCAGGGTCTCCTGCACCCAAGTCAGGGCCGACTTGGAGCAGTGTAGTGGCTGCAGGGTGCTGACCCGTCACCTCTTCTTGGGGGAGGAGGGGGACAGTGGCTGTGGTTTATGGCTCTGTGGTGTTCAAGAGTGAGGACTGGGATGTTCTTTCAGTCTTCTTCCAGTTCTCTCCAGAATGGCCTCTGCCCTGCAGCTGCTGGGCCAGATGGGGCCAGAGCACCCTGTGGCCTGGCTCCATGGGAGTCCTAGACCAGCATTCACTCCTTCTGGAAGGTGGGCCTGTCCTTTCTGTCGGTTCTTAAGGTCCAGTCTAGAACCTGTGCAGGCAGCAGCAGTGAGGGGGCTGGGGGGACTATCAGTGCACATAGCCTCTCAGGGCAGCCCCCTGCCCCACTTCCTTTCCTCCCTTTCCCAGTGGGGGCAGCACACTAAGCTGTGAGAGGCACAGGGCTCTCCCCACACCCCTGCCCCAACTTCAGGAACCCAGTGGTAGTAGACCTTCTCACTCCAATCCCCTGGAGGCATGGATCAGCCAGTTCCTGTAGATTGATGGGGGGGTGGGGGGGAATAGAGGAGCAGCCAGTGGATTCCTCTTGGGACCAGAGTCAGCCCTAGGCCTGCTCAGAACCCCCTGCTGGGTGGCACCCCAAGGTGAGGACTGGGGGACAGCCTGCAGCAGCAACCAGGAAGCCCCCCCCCCCCCCCCNNNCCCCCCCCCCCCCCCCAGCTGGACCGTGGTTGGAGGAGACTTGGAGCCTGGGTGTCCAGGAGGTGGGTGCCTCCAGAGACTTGTCCACCCAGATGCAACAGGATTGTGGGTCCCACCTATAGCCTCGGCAAAGGGCTAGCTGGTGGGTCCAGCTCCCTTGAGTCCCCTGAGGCCCAGCTGGTGGCAAGGCATTCCATGGAGTGGGGGACGTCATTGAGACAAGCTCCAGATCTCTGGGGCCAGAGTTCAGGCTAAGGGACTCAGGTCAGCCTCATTGGGGGCCAGGGTGTAAATCAACCTACTGAGATTCCAACAAGTGAATTAGGGAATTAGCCTGAGTGGGGCAGGGGTGCTGGGCTGGCACAAGGCAGTTGTATTCAGGAGCCATGGTCCTGCATAGCCCCTCCCTTCTCCAGGTATGGTAGCACCCGTGGCTTTGGGGATACCGCTTTCCTGTGGGTCTAGGTTGGGATGAACAAAGAGCTCCCAGGCCTGGGAGGAGCCAGCTGCCTGACTCAGGACTCAGCTGGGGCTGTGCCCAGCTCCCAGCTCTGTCATCCCCTTGCTGCAGCCCCTCCCAGCCCCGGAGCCCCACATCTAGCTGCCTTCCCCCTCTTGCTGGGCCCAGCCTATTCATTCATTCATTTGGCACAAGTATTGTCCCATGCCATGTACTCTGAGGTGTTTTGGGGGTGCTCCAAGAAAGGAGTCACTCCAAGAGCTGCCCCTCTAGTAAGGGAGGCCTCAAGAAATGTAGCATTTGAGACAGGAGGGCGTCCTGGTGTGGGATGTTTAGNCTGCCCCTCTAGTAAGGGAGGCCTCAAGAAATGTAGCATTTGAGACAGGAGGGCGTCCTGGTGTGGGATGTTTAGGGGAGGCTTACTACAGGGTAGGACTTGAGCTGGCATGGTAGACTTGATGGCTAGTAGGGGACACAGGCACTTCCTAGGAGGATCCAGGAGCTGCCTGAACAAAAGCAGGGAGGGGGCGGGGTATGGAGCAGAGCCTTGCAGAGCCGTTTGCGGGGCTCCAGAAGATGTCTGGGTTTGATATGGCCCGAGGCCCACAGAAAGTTCCCAGCAGCATTTTAACCAGCAGTGGTTCTTAGGAACTCCTGTATAGGTGTCTCCGTGAAACCTGGTGACCTGGCTGCTGTCTGCACACCTAGGTGAGCAGAGTACAGGTGTGGAGATTCCAGAGACGCCCACTCCACCCGCTGTGCCCACCTCCCAGAGGCTGCAACTTATTTATTCATTAAGCCATTTACTATGGGGATGGATAGGCGGTGCTAGGTGCCATCTAGCGCCAGGGTGGGGGCAGGCCCGCGGGTGCACTGGGAATTTAGGCCGGGTCCAGGTGCCGGGGTCGGGGCTCACTTGCTGCGACAGTCTGAGGCGCTGAGCGACAGGAAGACATCGGCCTTGCACTGGAAAGTGGCGCGGCCGTCGGGGAGCGGCTCGCAGCTCTGCAGGTTGGGGGTGACCTCCTTGACGCACACAGCCTAGGGGCGAGATGGGATGGAAGGATAAGGGGGCGTCTGCACCCCCCAGCGCTCCGCACCCAACAGCGCCCATTACTCACGAGACTCCGCAGGTTGGGGCGCATCTCCCGGAAGGTGCCGGCCCCTCCCAGGGATCGCGTGCCCCCGCGGGGCTCGGAGCGCCGTGCGTACGGCGACCTGTGGAAACCGGACAGCAGCCCTGCGGCGCGGCCCACGGAGTAGTACCCCGGCCCCGCCGTCGGCTTGTACCACGCGAAGCCGGGGGACGCCAGCAGTAAGCAGAGCGCCAGAGCGGCGGCCACCAGCATCGCGGGCCCGGCCATGGGTACTCGGTGGCAGCGGGCGGCGGGGCGCGGAACGGCAGCACCGGTGCCTTATATTTGCTGCGGGGCGGGGCGGGGCGGGGCGGGGCGCGAGGGCGGGCGCCGGTGGCACGGGCCTCCGCATCCTGGAGGGAGAAGCCCGCGCGGGGTTCAGAGCCTCCTGGGCACAGGGGCACGCTGGAGAAAGATGGTCCAGGGCTTGGGGGGGATGCGACGCCCCCTTCCTCTCCACCGCCGCCCACCTCCCCGTTTCTGGCCACTCAACTTTTGCTGGGAGGCAACCCCCAGGCCCCTCCCACAGACCTTAGTCCCGACTCAGTGGGAGGAGGGGCGGCGGTGCTGCAGAGCCCTCAATGAGTCCGACGGCGCCCCAGCCCCGAGTCACCCCAGCCCCGAGTCACCCCCCGGGGACTGTACCCCGTACCCCGGAGACAAGGAGCAGTTGTTTCCCTGTACCCTGGGGACAAGGAGAAGTTCCCAACCTAAAGGGAGCTGACCAGAGAGGGCCAGGCTTCTGGAAGAGGCACTGAAATCTAAGAGGGCCCGGGGTGGGGAGGGCAGAGGTGGGTTTCACACCTATTAGAGTTTTATACCACTGATCTGGTCCTCAAACAGAGCTGGCAGGACAGGCAGGATGGCTCCCAGGACAGACGAGGTGGGGAGGCCAGGGGAGAGCCTTTGCAGAGGTGGGTGCTGTGGCCCTGTGCCACTGTGGCAGAGGAAGAGATGAGATGATCATGGGCCCTGAGAGGACCTTGCAGAACCCTTGAGCTTCCTGCAAGGGAGCCAATGGCTGGTCTCTGGGTGTGCGCTGGGCCTGGCAGGCAGCTCTGTGTCCTGCTTGAGGGGACCACACAGGCCCTGGGAGGACCAGGCTGGAACCCAGTAAAGAATGGAGAGGAGCCCACCTGGCAGCGAAGTGGGAGTGGCCTGCCTGGAGGACTGTCTGACCTGTGGCAAGCTCGAGACCCCTGGGGTGAGGGCACCTTTCCCGGTGTGCCAGGGCTAAAAGCCTGGAGGCTCAGCTCACGGTCTGGCACCCTAGGCATGTGGGTACTTCCTGTCACGGGGAGAATTCCCCAGGGAAGGCAGAACTCCAGGGAGGGGAAGTGAGCAGGGGCAGGCCAGATGCAGGCCAGGCCACCCTGTGGGATCCTCTGCAGCCGTCACAGCCCACTTCCCAGTGAGAGCTGGTCTTCCTACTGGTCTGTGAACTCAGTGACCATAGATCCAGACACGCTGTAGATAGGCACTTAGAATTCAGAGTTACTGCCTAGAGCCCAAGAGCTAAATGGGAGCACACCGGAGGCTGAGTCCAAGGGCCCAAGACGGAGGGCACACAGCAGGTGACATAAGGCTTACTCAGCTGCCCCTCCTCCTGCTCACACTTTCCAAACACCCTGGCCACGTGCCTTCCCAGGACAGACACCAGCACAAGGGCCCTGGCAGCTGGGTTTCTGGGCAAGGAGCATATGACCTCCAGGTTCTGTGAGGGTTCCTTCCCTCTGGGCACAGTGGTCCAGACCATGTACCGCCCCGCCTTCTCCCCTGGGGACTGGTGCTCAGAAACCAGCTACCCACTGGGCAGAAGGCGTTACAGGGACAGGGGGCAGTGACCCCAGGTGGGGGGGAGGTCATCGAGAATAGACTGGAAGGAGCCCATGCTCACAGGACATGCAGCCTACAATGACTGCCATCCAGAAGCTGCTCAAGACCCTAGGGCTGGTTCCTTGCCCCCGCCCCACACCAGGCCACCAGCCAACGGGAGCTGAGGTGCAACAGAGGTGCCCAAAGGATGTCCCAAGAGCTGTCCTTCCCTAGATGGGGAGACCCTCAGACACCTGTGGACACACATCCTGATGTCGAAGACATTGGCCTTGACAAGGAGCTGGAAAAAAGGGACTGAGACCACTGATCACAGCTGCCTTGGCAAAGCCCTCTTAGCACAGCCAGCACCTACTCAAGGACAGCCTTCCAGAGGAAGGAAGCATGGCAGTGCCTGCCAGCTGTGTCCAGCCAGGGTCCCAGCCACCAGCCTGAAGAGCAAGCCCCCGGCCTCTCTACCCCACCAGGCTCTTCTAGCCAGAGCCCACTCTTCCCACCCTGGCTCCTCCGGCTGATCCCCGGTTCCTTCTCCAGGGGTGTGACTCAGGGCCTCTCGGCATTGAATTGGGATGTTTATTCATGAGTTTTCATACTGGCGCACACCGAGGCTGCCTCAGCACCAAGAAAACAAGCTACTGGAGCCTCCGGCCAGGCTTGGGTGGTTTAATGAGTTTTATTTATTGGATAAAAGTGTCAACATTGTGATGGGAGAAAACAAACGCAGCTCCAGTCCTCATTTCAACCCTGTCAGAGCCCAGAGGAGACTGTCCCCGTGGAGAAGACAGCCACCCAGAGCCACTGTGGGGGCGAGGCCATCTCAGGGTGAGAGCAGGGGCATCAGGCAGCACGGCTGGCCTCACTCCTTGAACTTCCACTCCTGGCGGCACATGGGGCAGTGCTGCTGCACCTGCTGCGCGTTCAGCCACTTGAGGATGCAGTGCATGTGAAAGCAATGTGAGCACTGGCCCCACACCAGTGGGCAGTCGTCACCCGGCACCTTGCCTGTGGGAGGGACGAGAGGACCTGTGAGTCACCCAGAGCATAGAACAAGTCCGATGGGGGAAGTGTGCCCAGGGTGGCCTCAGGGCTCAGAGAGGACAGGAATCCGGAAAGAAACCACGGATTCGGCTGAGCAGCCGCCTCTACATGAACCTCTGCAAAGACCACCCGGGCTGCTTCCACCTCCATGCGGGAGCAGCTCTCGGAGCTCAGCAGCAGGAAGAGCTCTGGCCAGGGCCGAACCCCCACCCACTGGCCTCCCAGGGCCTGGGCCCATCTGCAGACACACTGCAGCTCTGCCATTTGGCGCCCATGATGCCAAAAAGGTTACATCAGTGTGTCAAGGTGCCTGCACAGGTGACCTGCCTCTGAGCGGCAAACCATTCCTCTTGATCAAGGTGAGGTGAGCTGGGGCCTTAGAAACTAGATGTCGCCATCTCCAGGCAGCAGGGACCCAATTCAGTACCAGGGAGCAGGTCGGGGACTCAGGTGCTTATGGCCCATCCTTTTGGCAGCTGGGAGTGACATGGCACTACCTCCTATTTCCTTCCCATTTCTATCCTACCTCCAAGGTCCAAAGTACCTGGTGCTGGCCCTCCAGCCCACACACCTGCAAATGCTACTGCTGTGAAGAGGACCTAGCATCAAGAAAAACAAGCCTCTGATTTTTAAGGACCCAGAAAATCCTATCACACAGCTGGTGCCGGCAGAGCACAATGTCCTCCCCCAGCCACAAGCAGGTAGGTCCCCATGAGCAGGGGGGAGCTGCAGCTTGCTGCCTCCACCCTCTCTCGGGGAGCCATTCCCCCAAACCATTGCCATGGGGGCCCTTCATGCCTATCAAGCATGAGCCAAATCCAGAAGTCACTAGGGCACACAGTGCACCAGCCTGATAAGCTGGGGTGAACAGGAGACATCTTGCCCACGAAGTAGTTCCTAAGTGCTGGCCTGGTCACCTGTGGTCCTGGTCTTCTCTCTTGACACCACACACAGGGACAGGTGACTTAAAGAGATAACACCACGGCTAAGCCACATGACACTGCTTGCAAGACCTAATGGAGCACCTGCTCTGAGCTGCACAAGGAACTGGAAACCTGGCCTGAGCGCTTGTCCAAACCTCACAGTGCTCCGAAGTCTCCATCACCCCACTGACATCTCACCGACAGACAGGAGGCCGGAGCCACGTGACTCACGAGGGCAGCTGCCAGTGCCTGAAGGGAGCACACCGACCAGGAGGCTGGTGTGGGTGCCAGGTCTTAAATATCCTTCAATGGCTGCTGAAAACCTGTACCTCCTTCCCAGTTTGGGAGCAGCCCTTGCCCCACAGTGGTACATTCACCCTATGGAGTCAGACAGATGGGCACTGTTATCTTATTCTCTTGTTTGGGGCAGTGTTTCTCAATCTTTTTTAAACTTTTTATTTTGCATTGGGATATAGCCAATTAACAACACTGTGATAATTTCAGGTGAACAGTGAAGGGACGCAGCTATACATATACATGGATCCTTTCTCCCCCCCAAACCCTCAATCTTTTAAAAGTAATCCTCTCTAAAACAAAACATCACTCCTTTTCTGAATCCTTTATGCCAAAACAACCAAAAAACAATTTACTTGGCAAATACAAAACTATCTAGCTCACTCTGCTTCGCAGGCCGGGATGGGAGGGCGAGATGGACGGCCCTGTGCCAGGAGCCCACAGGGTGTGACACCTGCGGTCTGTTGGTTCCCACCCCCACCTCACCCCCACCCAGGGTCCTTCCAACCTCAGCAGAACTATGCTTGGCATCACCCCAACACATTAGAGACCTTACAAATAGAGGATGCAAGAGGATACACAGGGGCCAGCTAGCTGACCCGCAGGAGTACCCTGGCCATTGTGTCCATTCATGGGGAATCTGACACCACCTTCCATGCTGACAGTGACTCATGCTAAGTGTCAGTGGGATCCTCTCCATAAGACTTTCACTCACAAAGCCCTGAGACAAGCAGCGGGTTTATCACAGTCTGAGTCACTCTGGATTCTTCGTAGGAATTCCATCTCAGCAGAGAAATCCAGCATCACTTGATCTGTAGAGAAGGCACCCTGGGCTGACCAAACACTTTGATCATTACATCTGGCTCACAACCAGCAAATCCAAAGTGCAGCCTCTAAACCCCCCTCTTCCCGGCAGTCAGCACACCTCAGCCAGCCCTACACACTGGGTTCCACAGGCTGCATGCAACCCCTAGTGTCATCTTTGACATACAGGCTCACTCACACACACTGAGTCAAGGGCATGACCACATAAATGCTACCCTAGAACTTTTCTTTTCAGAAGCCACATCTGCGGCTGAGAAAGTTGCAAGTACCCACCCATAACCTGTGTTGTACCTTTGAGAAAGGGTGGTTTTAGGATTTCCCTGGTGGTACAGTGGATAGGAATCCATCTGCCAATGCAGGGGACATGGGTTCAATCCCTGGGCCTGGAAGATTCCACATGCTGCAGAGCAACTAAACCCGAGCAATGCAACTGCTGAAGCCTGTGCACCTAGAGCCTGTGCCCCGCAAGAAGAGAAGCCACCGCAACTAGAGGAGTGCTCCCTCAACTAGAAAAAACCTGCAGGTAGTAACAAGACCCAACTGAGCCCTCCCCCCTCCAAAGAAAGGGTGGTTTTGAATGGATTAAAGCAAACCAGACCCTGTGTTCTATTCTCACTCCCTGTTACATAAAACCTCATCAAGTAGAACCAATCACTGATTTCCTAAGATTATATCCCAGCCTGATTAAATCAGGATGGATCATGTTCATGGCCCCACAGCACAGGCCCGGTCATTGACTTCTCAGTGGTCCCCAAGTCTCACCTTTCTCTTGGGAACACCTTTGTTCCCTAGGCAAAGTCTTAGACCCTTCCTGCTGCTTCTGGTTCACTTGGGTCTGACTAAAAACTACATTCACTGGTGCAAAAATCTCCTTTTGACCCAAATACTTTCACTTCACAGAACACACTGGGGACAAAGGAACAATGCCAGACACCGCAAAGATGAAATCTGATAAAACCTGAGGTCAGGCACTCTGCAAGACAACACGTTCTGAAAGAATCAGATGTCTACGGGGAATTCCCTGGTGGTCCAGTGGTTAAGAATCTGCCTTCCAATGCAGGGGATGTGGGTTTGATCCCTGGTCTAGGAGCTAAGATCCCACATGATACAAGACAACTGAGCCCATTGAACACAACTAGAGAGAAGCCTGTCCAATGCAATGAAGGTCCCTATGCAGCCAAAAACAAATAAATAAAAATAAAAACAAATAATGAGATGTCTAAAAGGCGATAGAGAAGTTGAAGCAAAACTATTCTAGATTAAGTAGTGAAGAGAAAAAGTGATCACACTTTGGGTCTTGGCTCACACTACCCAACAATAAAAAGACATTTGAGTACAACTAAAGATATCTGAACAAGGACTAGGGATGAGGAGCAACGGTAAGTAAATATGTTGTCTGAAGTGACAACAGTGCTGGGAAAAAGTCAGCACTGAAGTGGGGCATCACATTTAGCATTTACTATGGCTTCCCTGATGGCTCAGTGGTAAAGAACCAGCCTGACAAGGCAGGAGACATTTAGCATTTACTTTAAAACAGCTGGGCAAAAACAACCAGATATGAAAACGTGTTATTCATCGTTTATGTGCTGGATTGAGGGGGAAACCTTGTAACATTACATTTTTTTGTTGACTTGAATTTTTCAAATAAAATGTCTTAACACATCTTTGTGTTCCACGTATCTCATAGTGACTTTTATCAGGATAGGAAACTGTGCTCTTTTCCTTACAAAACTTTTGACGGGATCTTTGTACAAATATGGCTCAAACAGCCTGGCTTTTCTCTATCAACTTTTCTTGGGAAGAGGAAACCAAACCCCAGGAACGCTGTGCAAGTACTTCTGGTGACACGCCAAGGCCAGAGGATAGGCACAGCTCGAGAGAGAGCGGGCAGGGGGCACTCACAGTCCGGGCAGCAGCCATTGAAGGCCATGCGGCAGATGCCGCAGTTCTCGTCGTTGGCTACCCAGAGCCAAGTGGCCACGCCGTTCCAGCATTTGATCTTCACCTTCATGGCGCGAGGAGCCTGCGGAGAGGGAAGAGACCACCGGGCTGTGCTGAGTCTGCAGAGCTACGGCACCTGGAAACCAAAGAAGGGGTGTCGCCCCGAGGGTCCAGCGCAGGCAACAGTGGCCGCCGAAGGGCAATAAGAGCTGTCTGCAAGGGGGCTGGGGAGGGCGCCGGGTCCTCGGGAAGACCGGGAGGACCGGTGTTGGTCCTTCGCCAACACCGCACTTCTGCCCCGGCGTCCGCAGAAGGGGTCGTCAGCTTTCCTTAACAACCGCAGAAACGCGCCGTGCGCTACTTCCGAAAGGGACACGACTGACGGGGCTGAGAGATGGAGACCCAAGCCCGCTGCCTACGAGGTCATCCCGGAAACAACCCCGGCGCGGGCTGCACTCACTCTGGCCGCGGGACTAGGGTGCGGGTTCCTGGTGCGGTGGGGGAGGGGCAAGGGAGGGGCGCCAAGCTCGACCACGCCCCCAACGGCCGCGCCCCCGCCGATCTAACTGCGCGCGGCCCCACCCACCTTCAGTTGGCAGCGCCGGCCCCGCGCGGGAAGGTATATAAATGCCTGTGACCGCGGCTCGGCACTGCTCAGAGGCGCCCGCCGAGCTCCTTGGCTCACCGCGCACGCGCGGCCTCGCTCCCTGAGACGCCGAAGGCCTGCAGCCAATCCGCGGTCGCTCTGTGGACGCGGCACCGGAAAACCCCCAAGCGGCGCTGGAAGTGACGCGCCGACGTGCTGACGCGCGGGCTCGAGCCGAGGCCGATTCCGCGCCCGCCATGGCCGACAAAATGGATATGTCTCTGGACGACATCATTAAGCTGAACCGGAGCCAGCGAGGCGAGGCCGTTGGCGCGGCCGCCCAGGTGGCGGGAAGTTGGTTGGAGGGAATCGAGAAGTTGCGGGATGTGTGGCCTTGGCGGCAGGGTACGGCCTGACGCGGGCGAGAAGCGGGGCTGCGGGTCTGTCTCAGCGCCTGCTTCCCCGCCGTGATGGGGCGAGGGTCTTGCTGTGGCCGTGGGGGCGAGGGCGAGCCCTGGAGTGAGACTCACAGATCTTTTTCTGTTCTTGTGTTTTCTTTTCCCTCAGCCGAAACAACTTCCTGACAAATGGCAGCATGACCTTTTCGATAGCGGTTTTGGGGGTGGTGCCGGCGTGGAGACAGGTGGGAAACTGCTGGTGTCAAATCTGGATTTTGGAGTGTCCGACGCTGATATTCAGGTAAGGGGCTGGAGTTTTCTTGGTGGGCGGGTCACTCCACACGGAATTGGTTGTGGTGTTTAGGACTTGACCCTGAATCCCCCCCACATACCTTGGGACGACAAGCTTTCCCAGGCACCCAAGGGCCAGCCACTGTCCCCTGTGAGGGGCTCCAGGAATGCAGAGCAGAGGTCGAGCTAGAGTTGAAAGCCTGACCAGTGTGTCAGTTTGTGCTGGAAGACAGGCCCCAGCTTAGTCTGAGGCGCTGCTGTTCTTCCTTGCTAAGACGTGTTCTGTAGATGAAGGCACTCTGCCCAAGCTCTTCTGACAGAAGCTTGGTTGAATGCTCCATTTCTGTTCCTGGAATAGCTAGGCTACTTGCTTTCTTTACTTTTTGCTTGTTTTAATGGTTTGTTGGGAGGAGAAAGCACTTCCTTTGTAGACCTGATATAGCACAGAAGCAGGATGGTGCCAGCGTCACTCTGGCTCCATTTGCTTTAAGCCCTATGTCTTAACTTGGAATTTCATCCCCTGTCTTCTCACTTATCCTCACCCCCTGGGTTTTGTTAGTGGCATGATTCTCAAACATCTTTGGTTGAAGCCTGTTTTTTTTTCCTCTCTTTCTTTCCTCCCCCCCCTTTTTTTCCTTTCCTTTTCTTTTTTTGGTTGAACCCCAAAGGCCTTTAAACTTGCTGCCTAAAACGGTTAAGTAATGACATCTTGGGGGTCAGTCCAGGAGATGGCTGGGCAGGGTACTGGGCCTTCCTGGGTTCAATTTCCCAGAGCCCAGCCATTTACTTTGCCTTGGGAGGACAGAGCAAGGCCAGTGAGCACTCACAGTGTCTCAACACTTTTTTTAAGGTGGTTTCTGGCATCCACTGGAAACCGCTTTTGGTGAACTCCACTTCCCGCTGTGTGCCTGCGGCCGGAGTAGCCCCACACTCTGGGTTCCCTCTCCAACTCCCAGCCTGCCTGAGGTCAGGGCAGTTTCCATGGCAGCGCTTGACTTCAGGCTTTGCGGCAGGCTTGAGTAGGAGGAGAGGGAAAGGTGAGCCAGAATCTGCCCTGGGGGAGGGGCTGGGTCAGGGCTCCCACTCAGAGGGCCCTTGGAGCTGGTCCACAAGTGGATAGAGCCCCTTGCTCTGTGATCTTGGCCTTGGCTGCTTCTTGGCACAGTCCTTGGGTGTGTTGTAAATATTCCTTTGTTGAAGAAGATAGCAACTTAATCTTTGCCCTTCATTGGTGGGCTTTGTGATCCTTCACCTGCATCATGGTACAGATGTCAGGTTCCCAAGTGGGCAGGAGCCCTCGGGCCCAGCTGCTCTGGGAAATTGCTGTCCCACCTGTCCCATCCCATACCCCAGGTCCCACCGCCACTGCCCTGCCCAACCACGTGTATGTCTTTCTCCCAGGGAAATACCCCCAAAGTAGTTTACACTTCCAGGGAGTGTCCCTGGGCCACCAGAAGAAAAACTACTTTGCTAACAACTGCTCTTTCTGACTCTCAGGAGCTCTTTGCTGAATTTGGAACTCTGAAGAAGGCGGCTGTGCACTACGACCGATCTGGCCGCAGTTTAGGAACAGCTGACGTGCACTTTGAGCGGAAGGCAGATGCACTAAAAGCTATGAAACAGTACAACGGCGTCCCTTTGGATGGTGCGTTTGGGATTGGACCCAGAAAGGCTGCAGCGCTGTAGCTAGTTTGCGGAGCCAGAGGCTGGCCCCATCCCTGCAAGAGTAGGGTCCCCTCTGCCTGAGGACACTTTGCGTTCGCCCCTTTGTCTCTCTTCCACACTGCCACCTCTCATGCTGCCCCACACATCTGGACCAACCTCTTGTGAACCCCCATCCAGCAAGCTACATCCCTCCCCTCCTTCAGCTCCTTGCGGAAGATTCACTTCTGTGAAGCCTTCTCAGAACCACCATAGTACAACTCTTGAGTGCGGGGCTGTAGTCGTAAAGACAAAGGTACCTTTCTGCTCCTGGGCACCCCGGACACCCGGCAGACACCCAGCTGCACTGGATGAGAAGGAGCGAGGAGGCGCTGGTGGGGCTGTTCTCCCACCAGCATTTCCAGGCTGTCCTCTCGTCGGGAGCGTCGAGATGCACAGTGTCCCTTTCCAGTGCTTACATGGAGGCCAGGGTGCTGCCCCCTAGCAGGCTTCAGAGTCCTCTAACAGGAGCTGGCCCTCTTGTGTTCTCTGCCACAGGCCGCCCCATGAACATTCAGCTCGTCACCTCACAGATTGACACGCAGCGGAGACCTGCACAGAGGTGAGTTCCGGGGCCTCTCTAGTCAGGGCTGGCCTGTGGGGTGTCTCCTCACACTGCTGGTCTTCCCAGGCATGTGAGCAAAGTTTCCTTTTCTTGCTAGTGTAAACAGAGGTGGGATGACTAGAAACCGTGGTTCAGGAGGTTTTGGTGGCGGCGGTGGCACCCGGAGAGGCACCCGTGGAGGCAGCCGGGGCAGAGGCAGAGGCACCGGCAGGAGTTCAAAGCAGCAGCTTTCCGCAGAAGAATTAGATGCCCAGCTGGATGCTTACAATGCAAGAGTAAGTCACAGAGGAGGGCTGGGTGAGGGTCAAGCCCAGACCAACTGGAGGAGGGCCTCATTTTGAGCGAGCACCTCTCTTCCTCTGTTTCAGATGGACACCAGTTAAACAGACCGGCAAATCAGTGCATGGACCAGGACCCAGAAGTCTCGTCCGTGCTCCCTGGAGGGAGGGGGTGACAGACTGGGGCTGTGTGGCCAATGATGGATTTGTTTCTTTTATGTTTTAAAATAGGATTTAAAATTCATGTAAAGGTTTCTTTTTCCTTTTTTTTTTTTTTTTTAAATTCTGAAACAGACCTGTTTTGTACTGAGTTATTTTTGGGATAAATTTTACTGGTTGTTGTTGTGGAGAAGGTGGCGTTTTCACCTTTGCCATAATAAAATAGAAACGTGTGTAGAGCTGGAACTGTTTAATTCATCCCATCCTCAGGGTCCTCACCTGAGCCAGAATGCTGGTGTGATCTGGTTGGCGGGAGGGATGTGGGATCTGAGGAGGAAATGAGACAGGCCTGCTGGGTACATGGCACCTGGCCTGTGGGTTAGAGTTCTGCAGGAGAGTGCTGGCTGCCACGCTGTTCCCGCAGACCCAAACCCCTTTTTCTCACTCCCTCATCCCCCCTGGGTGGGAGGATGTGGAGCAGTGGTCCTCCACACGCAGCCACCTGTTCATTGCCTGTACTGCCAGGTGAGGGGAGGGGCAAGGTGGGGTGCCCTGTGTTTCTGGCTGATTTCAGGTGACTGCTGGGTTGAGCTGTTCCTTTCCTTCTGGTGCTCTGGTTCTCAGAAATCTGGGTTTAGTAGTTGTGACTTTGCAACATAATCCCCGTGTGTTTTTCATCTTTTGTGTCATGAAGGAAAGATCACTGTGTTGGTGTTTTCTTAATTATGTACTTGGTGATGTAGCTAGTGGGAGCTGTGGTAGAATCTCATTTGACCTACAGGGAACTGGGGGAGGCGGGCAGACACTGGTACCCATCTGGACCTCTCCTGGGACAGACTAGAGCAGGATGGTCATGTTACTTGACCGAATGCTAGTGTGACCTGCCATGCAATTCCTACAGTTCAAGAGGGGCCAAGGACCCTGTGGAGTGCAGGGCATGGACATCTCTTTGGGCCTCCCCTCCTGAGGACATGCCTTTGAGCCACTCAGTTATGCCTACAACCCAGCAAGAGGGAAACTGGAAAATTCTTAAAGAGATGGCAATACCAGACCACCCTTACCTGTCTCCTGAGAAACCTGTATGCAGGCCAAGAAGCAACAGAACCAGACATGGAAAAACAGACTGGTTCAAAATTGGGAAAGGAGTACTGTCAAGGCTTATGCTGTCACTCTGCTTATTTAACTTACATGCAGAGTACATCATGCAAAATGCTGGGTTGGATAAATCAAACTGGAATCAAGATTGCTGGGAGAAATAACAACCTCAGATATGCAAATATACCACTCTAATGTCTAAGTGAAGAGAAACTAAAAAACCTCTTGAGGGTGAAAGAGTGAAAAAAGGTAAAACTCCACATTCAAAAAAGAAAGGTTCTATCACTTAATGGCAAACAAAAGGGGAAAAAGTGGAAACTAACATTTTATTTTCTTGGGCTCCATAATCACTGTAGACAGTTACTGCAGCTCTGATGTTAAAAGACACTCCTTGGAAGAAAAGCTATGATAAACCTGGACAGCTTATTGAAAAGCAGAGAGAGACATCACTTTGCTGATAAAGGTCCATATAGTCAAAGCTATGGTTTTTCCAGTAATCAGGTACAGATAGGAGTTGGACCATAAAGCTGAGCCCGGAAGAACTGATGTTTTCAAATTGTGCTGGAGACTTGAGAGTCCCTTGGACAGCAAGATCAAACCGATCAATCCTAACAGAAATCAACCCTGAATAGTTACTGGAAGGACTGATGCTGAAGCTGAAGCTCCAGTACTTTGGCCACCTGATGCAAAGAGCCAACTCATTGGAAGAGACCCTGATGCTGGGAAAGACAGAAGGCAGGAGAAGAAGGGGATGGTGACAGCCTTTTGAGAATAGGGACTAGAGGGAGGGGTAAGTAGGGGCCAGGAGAGTCACCCCAGCCTTAATAGCAGCCGGTGCCTTGGCTCTTCCGGAAGCAGCTGCCATGGTCTGCAGCTCAGATGGCTTCCATGTTTGGGATGAGGCTGGAGTGAGTCACAAGGAAGGACTGTGATTAAGGGGTGGCCCTGTAACAGTCAGTTAATGTGCTGTCACTGCAGAGCCAGCAGCTGCCATTTGAACCATCTGAGCCATGCCAGGCACTGATAGAAAGATGGTTGAGGTGACTCATCCCTACCTCTCGCCCAGTCTTAATGGGAAGGGGTCAGCCAGAGCTCAGCTTTAGCTGCAGTGTGGTGAGGGGTGGCTGGTAGAGGTCAGACCATCTGGACAGAGCCAGGCAGCCTCTCTGATGAGGTGGCCTTGGGCTAAGCAGGCACATGCCAGGCAGGGAGACTGCTTTCTGGATGTTGGCTCTGGTGTTTGGAGGGAGGGATGACCGGGAATCGGGGGCTTGTGGGACATGGTAAGGGGTGGCCAAAGTGTCACATGGGTGGAGGGTGTCATTAGTGAAGGGAAAGTCCCAGGAAGAAAGCAGGCAAAGGACGGGCTGTGCTCAGTGTTGGGTCTAAGAGGCAGAAACACCAGATGTGGATAGGCATCCAGATGTGGACCCAGACAAGTGTTGCTATCAGCTGGATGTCTGCGAGCTGGAACTTGACGTGTGGACACTGCAAGTAAAGGTAGGGATATGGGGCTGGAGGTGACAGGAGTGGGGAGGGGTGACATCATATTTGCTGGAAGCCTGTGGTGGGAAGGTGACCGAGTCAGAAAAGCTTGCAATTTGGCAGGGAGCTGAGAGAAACCTCCCCATGACTTTATTTTTAAATTATTTTTGGCTGCACTGGGTCTGTTGCTGGGCATGGGCTTTTCTCTAGTTGCAGCGAGTGGGGGCTACTTGTAGTTGCAGAGCACGGGCTCTAGAGCACAGGCTCAGTAGTTGTGGCGCATGGGCTTAGTTGCCCCACAGCATGTAGAATTGTCCCTGACCAGGGATTGAACCTCTGTCCCCTACATTGGCAGGCAGATTCTTAACCACTGGACCACAGGGAAGTCCCTCCCCACCACTTTAATCCTCAGCCTCCTTAACTGTGAAATGGGAAACCATGTGTTATCTCAAGGGCTGGAGGGTCATGCGCTTTGCTGTTCTTGTGGGGGTGCTCTTGGGAGGAAGCGCTCTTGGGTGGTAAGTGTGTAGGGGCAGCTTCTGTGCTCCAAGGCAAACCAGGCTTCTGGTTACCTGAGGGCAGTGCCTGCAGGGTATCCCTGCAATGGCCAGCACTTCATCCCTGAAAGTACAGAACGAGTGAGTGAAAGGATGAGATGGACTTGGTGCTTTTGTTTGGTTTCTCCTTCATGTTCTTTTCTCAAATGCTGGATTACAATCTCGCAGACCAGGTGGATGGGGCTGTCCCACTTGCAGGGCACTGGAACATACCCCAGCTCACCTCCCACCTTGTGGTCTGAATGGAAAGTTCAGTGATCAGTCCAGGAGTGGGCACATGCCTCATCCGGACAGTCAATCAGTCTTCAGGAATCTCGAAGATGTTGAGGAAGCCAGCGCCAGGGAAGAGGGTGGCATGTCCACAGGGCCTAGGGCTCCTGGACTCTGATAGGATGGTTGTGTGAAGAGGAGCTGCTCAGCTCCAGGTGTGTTCTGGTTTGCTTGGTTGAGCACAGATACACGTGGTTTACAGAGCAACTTGGATAAGCAGGAACAGCCCTATCCCTTGGCAGATTGTGTGAAATCCAGGAGGAGTCAAAAGTGCCAGAGTCGTTGAACGGTTGTCACACTCAGATGTGGTCTGAAAGACCAGAAGAGCAATGTTACTTTCTATAAACAACAAGGGTTTTGTTCTTGCTTGCAGGGAGCTAAGGCTCTAATATAGGAAACAAAAATAAGAAATTATGATAATAGTGTAACAACTACAATAGAAATAAGTGAAGCAGGACATAGAGCATTTTCTGTTCTGCAATATACATTCCAGTGGGGGAAAGATGGGAAAAGTAAAATACAAGATGTCAGGTGGTAACAGGCTGTGGAGGAAAACAGAGCAGTGGATGCTAAGGAGTAGGGAAAGGCCTTGCTGGTGAGCTGGAGTTTGTGAGCACATGGATATTTGGAGGGGAGCCTTGCTGGCAGAAAGAAGAGCAAGTGTAAAGGTCCTAGGGTGAGACCACCAGACAAGCCAGAGCCCCACTGTGGCTGGTGGAGAGGGCAGAGGTCATGGGGCCTCTGTGCTGGGCTTCTAAGGAAGGGCATCTACCAGAGGTGCAGCCTGACCTGGGGAGGGGCTGCCAGGACTGAGCATTTAGGGACTGGCGTGGGGGACATCCATAAACAATAACTGAAAAGACAGAGCCATGGAGTGGGCTTCTGTGTTTCTGTTTCAATGAATGTGAAATGTGAAATACTCTTAAGAACACTGGCTTTTTATCTGAAAAAATAGCAGTCAGTACAAAATTTGAGGTAACCATGTATACAGAATAACCTTCCCAGCACCATCCAAATGAAACCCTTGTTACTGCAGGTTGTTTTTCTTAATAAGAGCTTTATTAACATATAGTCGACATACCATGGAGTTAACCCATTTACAGTAATTTTATTCTACTCCCCAAATCACAAATTCACCTCCACATTCAAATTCCAGGATATTCTCATCACCCCAAAAAGAAAACCACTAGCCATCATGCCACTGTTCCCGTTCCTCAGCCTTCACTTGTCCACTTTCTGTGGATTTGCCTGTTCTGGACTCTTCATACAAATGGATTTATACAATCTGTGACCTCAGTGTCTGGCTTCTTTACTCAGCACAGTCTTTGAGGTTCACTCTTGTTATAGCCTGTGTCAGTATCCAGTCCAAATGAAACCCTGGTTACTGCAAATGTGGATAGTTCATGTTTTGTTCTGTCCATTCATCAGTTGATGGACATTTGGGTTATATCTGCTTTTTGGCTATTGAAATAATGCTGCTGTGAGCATTGAGGTACACATTTTTTTTTTTTTTTGGAGGTACGCATTTTTATGTGGAGATAGTTTTCAGTGGTTTTGGAGTAGAATTGCTGGATCATAAAGCAACTAAGTTTGCTTCCCTGATAGCTTAGTTGGTAAAGAATCAGCCTGCAATGCAGGAGACCCCAGTTTGATCTTCCCTAATCATTTCTATTAACATCAGCCTACTTCTCCATTTAACTGGGAATGTTCTCAAGTGTCAGTCCGTAATNTTCACTCTCCTCTTTCACTTTCATCAAGAGGCTCTTTAGCTCTTCACTCTGCCATAAGGGTGATGTTATCTGCATATATGAGGTTATTGATATTTCTCCCGGCAA